CTGAGCTGTGTTATGTCTCAGAGCCATCCATGACCGTTCCCCGCCTTTGTCCGATGCCGCCCGTCTCTTTCGGTTGGTCTGGTCTCTTCTCCCTTCCTACGCACAGGTACCCTTGTTCGTCCCTTGCCGCCACCACTTCTTTGCCATTTTAGTGTACAGACACACCAATAAGGCTATTGCTTCAATTAGTGTAGTGCTTACTACCAATAAGCTCACCAAGCTTGTTTCGACGTCTATCGTACAGAGCAGCGGTGGCGTATGTAATTCAACATGCTCAAATATGGATGCTCAATCCACCATTGTCTAAATGTCCAAAGGTCGTGTGCCTTGTTTCCTCAGACAAGTACACGTACAGGTCGATTTACTGTAGGTAGGTAGGTACCTAGGCATTGCGTGAACTGGCCGGGGCGAAAACCCAGACGGACAGTGCGGTGGATTCTGAGCCTAGAACAGGGGCAGCTACTTAGGGGATCGTTTCAGGGATCACCTCCCCTGGACTCGCCCTGACGTCCGCAGTGGATCCATGGTCCCAGAATGCGGGGGTCTCGGTTGGTGCCGGCAGGGTCAGGGCTCCGTCTTTGGCGTGAATAGCGTCTCCTTCAGGGCATCGCTCTTCCATTTCAGGATCGTGCCCTGCTAGCAACATGAAACGAAACATCCAAAATCAACATGGAACGAACACGACCTTGGCAATGTAACCATACTCGGTCAACTTCTTGAACCACAAGATTCTTATCAAGCCGGCACTGCCTCCTTCACGTTTCTTTTCCTGTCCCCGGTTATTGTTTGCATCTCCAACGTCGTTTAACCAATGTTTCGAAGCATGGAACGCCGGATCGCGGCTCCGTGAGTTGAGTGTCATGGAGGAAGACCGGGCATGTTTTTCGAATACGACTTCTCTGTAGAGGTATACATACATACTCAGCTGCCCGGTAATCAACAAGTTTTATGTTGGCAATCATCGTTCAGTGTCAGTCATGTCTCCCAAAATGAGCACAAGGAGATCCTCCAGGTCGTAAGTTGCCGGCTGCCTAACTATTTCCATGTGTCAAGACAAACCCGTTTTCTAACTTCAACAGGCGGCTGGGATCGGAAATGGTCCAAGTGCTCGTGGGCAAGGAACAACGCGACTTTCGAATGCACAAGAAGCTCCTTTGCACAACCAGCGTCTTCTTCCGCAACCACATCCAAGTCGCCCAGCAAGAAAGCAAGACGACCAAATCCGAATTCGACGACTCGGTCCTCTGGCTCCCCGAAGAATCCCCCGAAGTATTCGAACTATTCATCGTCTGGCTCTACGACCGTCGCGCCTTTCAAGCATACGTCGACAGCGCCGTAGAAAAGGCCTCGAGAGATCGATACTCGCCCACCTCCTCCCCTAGCCGAATATCTCCTGCTCGACATTCCCCGTCCCGAATGGGAACGACCAGACATGCGGAAACAACCGACAGTGAACGGCGGGCCCTTCGCTGGAACCTGGTTCGTCTGCATCTCTTCGCCGAGGTAATCGACCTCCCCGCTTTGCAAGACGACTCGATGGACGCCCTACAAGATTTGTACCTCCGCTGCGACTGGGACATGTCGCCGGGGTTCATCACCTTTCTGTACGGCGATTGTTCCCTCGAGAATGCAGTCAGGCTGCGCAAATGGGCCGTGGCAATGCTGGCCTGGACGCTGCACGGCGGGGACGGCACGTCAAGTGAGTTCGAGAAGCTGTTTGCTGTGTTCCCGAAACTCAAAGCGGATTACGGCATGCACTTTAACAAGATGGCGGCGAGCAAGGCGGATCTACGGATCAAGAACCCCCAGTTGAGGCTACCGATGAACAATCTTAGGAGCGAGGAGCGCTTGTTTGGCTTTAGGCAATGCTCGTTTCATAGTCATCGATCGGCAGTTGGGGAAGGGGTTTGTCCCCATTTGGTCACGGGGCAGGAAGATTCAAACGATATGGAGACTGGGTCGACCCTGATGGGCGAGGATATCATTTCGGAGGAGGAGGACGAGGAGAAGCTGGAAGGCGAAGCAGGAAGTTCGGATAGCGAGGTGATAATTACACCCGTGTGCGATATGGAAACTTCTTTCCTGGACCTATCATAGCACATGTCAGTGCTTTTTTTTTTTTTTTTTTTTCTTTTCCTTTTTCTGGAGTTCGGGTCAAAGGGAGGCATCAAAGGCAACATACCAATACAATAATACATCTGTTCAACCACTAATCCAAAGCACATGTGTCATAACCACCACCTGGGTACTTTTGAATCCACCCACCTCCTTCTTGAATACACTCACCCATTTTCATCCCCCATTCCTTTGTTGATCCTACCCTGCAATTGACGAGAACTTGCTTCATCAACATCCACACATGGGGTAACCGTCGCCAGTCGGATCCCAAAGCTGAACGAGAACTCACAGGTCGCCACGGTTCGACAAGAAGAAACCAAAGCCAATGAAACCCCAAGCAAAGACACAAGAGAAACGTAAACATGAGCACAAATGGCTTTTTGGAGTTTCGTCTGTGAGACTCCATCAAAGAGCCTCATTGGTTCGCGCCAGATTCGGAACCACTTGCGCCTAAGCTAAGACCTTGAACCAGAGTCCAAGACCAATGTTGTCATCCTTTGACTGGAACTTTTGGTCTTCGAAAGCTGCGAGTAGGTTGCGTTGGCGATCGTCTGGCTGGATCATTGGAGATGGGCGTCTTGTTGAGGTGGAGAACTGATTTGGCGCAGCATCTTGCTTGCGCCAATTCCAATGTGTTTCTCAGAGTTGTGATTGAATGGAGCTATACCATAGGACGCAGAGATGGCAACAGAATTGTAGGCTTTGGATTACTGTAGGAGGAAGATGAAATGTATATAATGGCCTTCGTCACTCGCTTTTTCAAAGGTAGAGTTTTTGGAATCATCAGCAACAGCATCAGAACAACAATACCCATCATCCACATCAATTGATCGTTTACTACCAAAAATGAAGTTCACAACCACCACCGCCCTCCTCCTCGCCACCGGCATCACCACCATCGCCGCCATGCCTTGGTCTACCAAGAACTCGGCCAAGACTCCCTCTCAAGTGTTTGAGGAGGACATCACGTTAGTCACCTCACCTCACTTCCATATCGCTCGCTCGCTACCACCCAATCTGCCTACCTACTACACACTTCCCCCCCGCAGCAGTTTGGAGTACTCGACATCGCTGCCCTGTCAGACATTGCAGTTGTTTGATTCCCCTCCACTCTTTTCAACTTCACAACACAGCTTGTCATCTTGCCATCTCGTTTACATCGCGCGCATTCCCCACCGTATGTGTGTGTGTACCATTTAACTAACACCACGTCGCATTTCCTGCTGTGTTCAGTCTCCGCATCGAAGTTGTCCCCAAGACCAACAAGCAGCAGCAGCAGCAGTCTACGAAGAAAAATGACTTTGCTAGATTACTGAAGACCGGCGATGACGATGATGAAAAGCCCGAGATTTGCTGGAGGGCGTGCTTTGGGGACAGCCCGAATTGTCCTGAGGGATGGGTGAGTTTTTCTCCCTCGGTTTGGTTGCTTCCCAGGCTCTTGATAATGTTTTTTTCTTTTCTTTTTTTTTTGGAGTGTATGTGTGTGATTTGTGCAGGACTTTTGACTAACTTTGTTCCCTCTCGGTGTAATAGCACTCAAAGCAGTTTGGTGATTGCTGGACTTGCTGCAAGACTCTTGGGGAGGATACTCTTGACTTGTAAGATTGTCCTCTCTGGGCTGGGATGAGGGCAGGAAATCTTGTTTGTCTGCTATCTGCAAACCGAGTGATAGTGCTTGCGGCAATGAGTGATGAGGTCTATGTGGAGAGGTAGTTAGGCTACTAGCCGATATGAATTATGATGTGTGACGAAAGAGGTGATACAAGATGCCTTCGACTCCTGAATGATTATTTGTACGACTATCTTCCGTGAATTGTCGTGCTTTCTTTGAGATGATTGATCCGAAAGGCACGGTTCATGACGATGAGGAATAAAGAAGAATAAAACGGAAATGGAATTGGAAAGTTTCTGTTACGATATCAGTCGTGGTGGATGTTTCCTCGTTGGGGCGCGAGTTCCCTACGTGGCTGTTGGCTTGTGATTTGTACCTGGTTTTTGCCGGTTGTCCCTGCCTTTTCTATTCCGAAATCCAATAACTTGATTTTCCTTCCCTTGGATTAATGGATAATTCCTCCCTTCAAGCTTCTATGCGTGTCGGTTCGCGGACTACTTTCGATTGTCCGGTTGATGTTTCTAGGATTTTCCAATCTTCTTGCGAGGCATCCATTCGCCTCGATTTTGTACTTCCCGCGACTCGACGTTGTGATCACCTCACGTACTACCGCGTATTACTCTGGTGATTGGCTGTGATATCAATGAAGCTAGCAGACAGGGGGTGATGGCGACATCGACCAAGAGATTCTAGGACTTCTTGAACGGCGCTAACCACCGCCACCATTTTCTTATTCCGACTACATACCGTCAATATGATCTGTCCTCACCTCTCCCGCCAGCAACAAAATTTGTTGCTATCCATCTCTTCTTGAGGCGACTGGATTCGCTTGACTTTGTGAGCGTCTCTCGCCCGATCACTCACATTGATTTGCCGTCGACCTGAGCAGACGTCGACGATGGATGCCCCTCAGTTGAGCTACCAGAAATCGGACAAAAACGACCTCGCTGGCGGCAAGGAAGAAACTACCAGAGAATCACCTAAAGAGCAAATAGCCGCGAAGAACTACACCTGGGCATGGAGGTATGATCACCAAACGTGGAGGCAGAGTTACGACATTCCTCATTCCTGCCGCCACTGCCGCCGAATCAAGGTAGTCGAAAACCCGAAGCCATTTTCTGTTGCCATCGACAGAGCGTTTGATGTCCGTAGGGAGGGTAACCCTTTTATCCGTCTCTGTATAGCCGAGAAAATATCTGATATACGGCAGGCGATGGATGACAACTGTCCCCTGTTTCGGGTTTGGTTTGAGGAGTGTAGGGATGAGAATATGAAGGACTCAGAGCTTCTCCATCTCTTTGATATTGATGGCTCCGGAATGGTTCAGGCAGCCTTTTGGGGCAAAGGTCTGTACATGGATGCACATGGGTATGGGGATCTCGCACTTCTCTTCCGAAAGGATTGCGACCTCCTTCCAGAAAGAGAGTGGCTAAGAACCATTGTTCAGCCGGGTAAGTTGCTTATGATAATCGGTCGTCGGTCGACAGTTTCGACCTTTATCTACTCGCTTACTTCAAGTTCTTTACTAATAACTACTAGATGAGCCAAGAGAAAGTTTGACTTGCGACCCAGGCGCTTCGGATTCGTTCGAAATATGTCGGGATTTGATGTCCAAATGCTCCTTATCCCATCCTCTTTGCCGCATGCCACCTTCCTCTTTTATCCCCACCAGACTACTGGATGTCACTGAACATGATGTGAAGCTTGTTGAGACGTCGGACATGGATAAGAGTGAACGTCATGGATGGTGTGCCCTGAGTTACGTCTGGGGCGGCGATGTGCCTCTGAAGACCACGAAAGCAACGCAGCTGGCTCATAAGAAACGCATTCCCCTCGACACTCTTCCTCAGACCATGAAAGATGCAGTTTATGTTTGCCGGGGTATGGCCATTAGGTACCTATGGATCGACGCTCTCTGCATTATACAAGACGATCAGGAGGATCTCCGCGAAGAAGTCAGCCATATGCCCAAGGTTTATCAATACGCGGCACTCACGATATCTGCGGCGTCATCCAGAAGCATCTACGATGGGTTCCTTTACCGACGTGGATATTGGAGCCACACGTTCCCCGCAATTGACATTCGGGTTGCGCCCGACTCTGGTGAGAGTATCAGATTGTTTGTCTACGTTATCATGTATTCACACGCGTTCTATAAACGCAAAGAGCCCATTCTTCAGAGAGCGTGGACGTATCAGGAGGATATGCTCTCACCACGCATCTTAAACTATCGAACTCACCATTTGGAGTGGAAGTGCAGGACGCATACCGAGCTCGTTGGCGCGCCAGAATTCGGTTTACTCAAAGAGCCCATGACACAGTTCAATCGCTCCGAAAAGGGACAATCGGAGACGTTGATGACCAGCCATGACACATACAGGCTGTCGTCGTCAAGGTTATGGATTGACATGGTTATCGAATATTCCAAAAGAGAAGCATCCTTTGCCTCAGACAAATTGCGCGCGCTTTCTGCCGTTGCCCGGGTCTATCACCTTGAGACAGGAAAGGAGTACCTAGCCGGCCTGTGGAAGGAGGATATCCCAGCTGCGCTCTGCTGGGCTAGTGGTCCACCACCAGGAGAGTCTGAAGCAGGCCAATTCGTCACTTCCCAACGGCCAAGAGAGTATCGCGCACCCTCTTGGTCATGGGCATCTGTCGACACACCAGTGCACTATTGGGGGCATAGATGCAACTGCGCGCCAGTGAAGCCGCGCCCAATACAAGTTTTGAGTGCTGGTATTATACCAACTTATCCAAACGGAGAATTTGACTCGATTGCCTCAGGCTTTTTGGTTCTCCATGGCCCCATTCGGGCCTGGGCTTTACCAACACCTATCAAGTTGCGTGAATTCAAGACAAAGGATCCCACGGAGTGGTGGTGGAGTATCTGGGTCGAGGAAGTCAACGCTTATGTTTACCCGGATGCCATTGAGGATGGACATGAAATGCTGGACACCTTGTGGTTCTTGCTACTGGCCGAACGGGACAACAATTATCACCCCGACCCGGGGGCAAGGGAACCCTCTACAACCTATTATGGACTGGTTCTCAAAGAGGCTATAGGACATCCTAATACTTTTAGCCGAATTGGGTACTTTCGGACCGAAGCGATGTTTGATGCCGACTGTGACTGTTCGAATCGCGATGAGGTCTACACTTCCGCCATGTTCTTTAACTATTTCGAGGACCGAAACATCACTCTCATATGAAGGCATTATGGTTCCAATTGGTGGAGCTGTACTGAGGAAAAGTGGAATGGGCTGGAGGTTCTCAAACTCCGTCGCATGTAGAGCTATGCAGCCAGGTCATACCGTTATAAAAAGAATACCTATTTTGCCGAGTATACTTCTTGTCATCGACACCAGATTGCGAAGATTCACGATATGGTGGTCCTTGATTGATCGATCAGCACGAGTAATGGTAACACGCGCAGCATCTTCCTGTTCCATGCTACTACTAGAGATCTTCCCAGGAAGGGATAATTGAAGGTGCAGTTAGCGGCTGCTGACAAGGCTGTATAGTCTGGTAGAGCGACAAGCTGCTAGTAAAGCGTGCAACTGACTGCTCTACAGAAAACAGGAGTTATAAGTAGCAGAAATGCATCATTCTTGTAATGCATTAGTACCTACCTACCGAGCAGGGGCTGGACGAACGAAGGCGAAATCCACCAGTGTACCTAGCCATCACAACTACCAACATCCAGTCTGTTGGCTTCGGCCTGCACCACGCAAACCAGCTTTATTGCCCTGAACCTGAAGAAAAAAAGAAAAAAATGAAAAAAGAAAAAAGAAAGAAAATAAATCCAATTTATCGCAACCTCTCGTACCTAGCTTAGGTGCCTGACGAAAGTCAATCCTGGTGAATCATACCTACCTAGTGTGCGGAAGGAGGTGGTTTCAGCAGAGGAGTGTTGAGTGCGTCCTTTTACATGACGTTCGTTAGGACTGGACACGTTCATGACCCCCCACTCCTTATCCCTCCCTCCCCGGTACTTGTCTGTTGATTCCAGATGAGAGCCTAAGCATCAATCATAAAGGGTCGGAGTACCCAGCCGTCAGTTACTCGGCCGAGCCACCTCAATCATCTACGCCGAATGTAAGAACCAAACGCACTGGGGATCGAATAGCCCATTAATCACAAACTGAACAATCATTTTGTATGGCTCTCTGGTGTTCTATCATGGTAGAGATACCTGTAGAGCTGAGAAGCATACCTAGGTTGGAAGCAAACAAACACGTTGTCTGATGAGGAGATGGAGCAGTCCGCAAGGTTTGATTCATCTCTTGAAGATCTTCAATGCCCGACATACATGAGTCATTTGGTTTGGTAGTGCAGTTCTTGAAGTAGGGAACAAAAGTAGAACACTGAAAATAGTCGTATACAATTGTCATACCTAAACCGAGCGGTATTTGTCTTTGATCAGGTACCTCTACTAAAATGTCATCAGGTCTCCAACAACGCCCACAACAATAAAGACGGAAACAACGGACATGGCGACAAAGGTCCTTGATGCGAAACCGCACAATGCAAAGACTACCTTCACTGACTGTAGAGGTAAAGACCATCGATTTAACTTTTAGGAGAGAAAATGTAGACTTGGAGATCACTGATGATGGCGCAATTCCCTTATTGGTCTCCACATAGCTGGAGGCCCTTCTATAGGTAGGTACCTAGGTATCCTGATAAAGCGTCACGTTGGTGAATAGCTGCGCTTTTCGGATGGCAGGTGGCTATAATGAAAACGTTCATCCCTTTATCTTTGTATACGATCACTGCCCTTCAACCAACTGCCCTTCCCGCAGCGTTTCAAACCCTCGAGAGCTCTCGTCACTTGGTAATTTCAAGCAGCGAGTTGCTCATGATACCTACTTAGCTTCTTGGGTTCTTTGACAACAGGCGCTGTTTGTGAACCTGTATGGAGCAAACATAACATACATCAGCATGGCCCTGACTACCTTATCTTCTTGACCCTCGCGAATGCTTCATTGATGATTACGAACGCTCAAGTGACCATGAGCGCTTCAAATGCCTTGACGACAAAAGCTTTAGTTATAACAGCCCTCGAAAACACCACTCAAGGTCGCAAAATGTCTACCCGCAGATTCACGAGCACTCTTCTACTTCCACAGCAGTCCAAGTAAACACAAATTTGTCTACCATCTACCTTTTTATTTAGCATCGGCCTCGAAACACAGACTGCGTTGGGGTGTACGGGCTGAAAATGAGTGGTAGCGGACAGGACAGAATTTCACCCAAGGCAATCAAGGAACTATTCGAGCGTGGAATTGGATCCAGAGAAACCTGTAAGAACCGTTATATCTACCCTAAATTCTTCGACAAGATATCTTGGGAAAAGGTTGGAAGCTATCCATCCGCGTATCCGGACAAACTTCGAGAGTTTGGTAAGCCAACCCTTCTTAGTGAATGAAGCCGACATTTACGGGTGTGCTGATTGAAAATTGCCTACTTCTAGTCTTGGAAATCATCAGACATCAAGATAATATCCAGCTACGGAGACTACGGGCTATGCTTCGACAGCTTGAACAACTAAAAAAAACCTCTAAACCAGTTGGCAATTCTTCATAGTTACTTCCCATCTCTACCTATATACTTGCCCGAGATGGGCCGCTCAACTGCCAAAATAGGGCGTTAGTGCTTTTCACGGACGTTCTCTACGTAAAACCCGGTATGCACTACCCAAATCATAACATACGGTCCAAAAGTACCCCTTTCGCCTGCAAGATAATTGTTAGCCTTAACTGAGTTTCGCGCTTTTTCTGTTAGTGCATTCTTCGACATCCCTTTTCTCGCGTTCCTTTACTTTCGTATCCTTTACGTGTTATGTGTATACCCCTATTGATATACTCTAAGGGGGGTCCCGGGGGGCGCAACCCCCTAGCATTAAAATAACTAGAAATTCTAGAACATCAATGAGAAGTTATTAAATTGCTTTAGAAAGAAAAGACCAGCCCAAAATCCAATTGTATACTAACGGGCTACAACCCAGGATCCAGGCTTACATCCTCTGGGAAGGGCTGCGGCTTGCCGCCCCGAACACTAGTAAGCAGCGAAAGGAAAAACGCGGCAGAAGGAAGTTTCAAGAAGGTAAAGCTAGAGGTACCTACCTACCTACTGAGCCAAAATCCTCGACGGCGAATACGACCCATCCGCGTTCGACATCACCGTCGAGGGTGATCAAAACCATTGCTCTCGTGTTAACATGGCCTGTAGAGTTCGCCTTCAGCAGCCTGCGTGTTGACCTAGGCGAGCTCGCTCGCGAGCACAAAGGCCCTACACTGAATAGAAGGGCTTTCAACGGAAGACCAACAAGAAGGCTGCAGATACTCCCGCACAAAGGGGGGGGAACGCAACAGAAAGAAACTCGAATGGAAGACCGACAAGAAGGCAATAGAAACTCTTGGACCAAGACATCACCTGTAATTTCCAGCTTGGTACCTACCTGCAGAGCAGACATACGACAAACTGCCCAGCAACAGGTGGCTGCCGAAAGAGTGGGTGAGGAAAGGAACATGACCAGAGGGGGGGGGGGAACAAAAAGGCAAGAGATACCTGATAAAGGGAAGGAATAGTAGGGATGGAAGGACCTCACTGTCCAAGGAAACATATCCGTCAAGCACAGCTTGCTCTTTCAATAACAGGGAAAGATCATCATTCTCTGGAAAGTACATAAGGTGTACCTACGTCTACTTAATGAAGGGTTATTGGTTACCTACTAGTGAAAAGGACCGAAATGAATGTTCGACTTTTGCTGGGGTTAAGTGCACTATTTAGGGAGTGACACTCTTGAGGCACTGTGAACGGTTTAAAAACCACAATAATATCAATCAACCTTCAACGAGGGAAGGAGTATTGGGTAATACTCATTCAAGCATTCATTGACACGCAGATAATGATTGTGGTCTAAAACCATTCAGTGACATTGAGTGAATGTTAGGCATTATATGACGATTCAATCAACGAGTTGTGTCACTATTAATGCAGCGCTTGTTCTGGCCGGCTAAAGCAGCACCGAGGAGCTATTGGATGTACAACAACTTGAAGACTTGGGACGTGCCTTGAACGATGGCATGGTCAACTATCTGTGCTCATACGACAAGGAGCTCCGAATGCCTGATTTCGAATACCCACCAGGAGATCTGGTGTCAGGCGATGCTGCTGCTTTTTGTGACCTCGCCCAGTGGGGATCTGGACCAACCATCAAAATCTCCATCAAAGGATGGGAAGATGTGGAAACGGACAAATCTGAGCACGCGCGGAAGCCTTCTGGATGGACTGAATGAAGAGCGAAATGAGTCACCAGCAGGCACAGATCTGTCTGCTGAAGAAGATCCCACCTTCGTCCCTGAGGTGTGCTAACAGCTGCACGTGGTTGACTTTCCTGTTTGAAAAAGAAGGTGCGGGCCAAGCAGCCATCCGCAGACCCCGGTCACGGTCATGGAATATTGGCTGGTCGCTTACTTAGGTAGGAACGTGACCTTTGTCTTTCTCTTTTCCCTCTGCTTCTGTTAGGTTCTTGAGGCAGCTCCAGCCTGACGCAGAGGGGGCGATTGGCTTAATGGCCATAGCCAAGTACATCGCTACTTCGTAGGGCATACGGGCGGAGGAAGAGGATAGTTCGGATGGAGAATCGGCGACGACGATGCTTGCGTGCCCGCCGAGGGCAAAGATTGCTGCGCTCCCTGCGCCCGCTCGAAGAACTCGAGCACTTGCCGGCAGCAGCCCTCTGCCGTCTGGGCTCGGTACTGCTCCTACCCTAGTTGGGGGAGGAAAGAGTAGAGTAGATTCGTTGTGGAGTGGGTCATCATACGAGATTGAGAAGTGGTCGTTGTTCATCATCAGCCAACGTAGGCGCACAAAGCTTCTTGCTAGTGTGGCGCCGAACTCCCATGCGCTGTTCTCTTTGAGCAGCGCTGCGATAAACGTCAGCAAAGCTGTAATCAGGCTCGTAAGTCCTCTTGCGACCATTGCCTGGTGCATTTCGCGGCTGGACAGTAGGTATGCTGTCTGCGTTGATTGTACTGCCCGCGCGGGCGATGTACGAGTGGGTGAGTGTGGAGGTGTTGGGCCTCGCCTTGATTCTCAACCTGTGATTGATCGTGCGCTCCGCTGTTTGCAAAGGTCACGACGCTTTGATTCTCGACTTGCGAGTGATGGTTCGCTCCGCTGTTCGCGGAGTTGACGCCATCTT